AATCATGTATATTTCATTGTAGCTGAAAGTCGGTAGGACGGATTTAGTACAGTGGGTATGCAGCTTCAATGATGCATCTGATAACAAACATTATGCTAATGGTTCCTGAAAGTAATGTCATTAAATTCAAACATATCGTTATTTCCGTTTAGCTAATTAACCCTATTTTATCTCATTGATTCATGCTGTTTAATTTCACTTTACTTGGACAGCATTAAATCATCAGTCGAAACGTTATTTGATTTCTGTTAATTTTTTTCAATTTAAGCCAGCATTGAAATTAAAGATTTGTAATGAATTCTAACTAGGGCCTCCTTAATAAAATGCACATTTTTTGATAATTCAATTTGGTTTCCAATTAAATGTATCAAGCGTAGAACGCTAATGAGTTATCACTAGAAAACTTGTTGGATTTCATTGCTGTACGTACTACAAAAATATAATCAATCATGGACCAACCAATTGCTAAAAAAAACCCTCATATAACCACGTTATCCGATCGATTTAGTACTGAACGTACCGTTAAGAAAGCATAAATACTTGCCATAAATGATTATTTTGAGACTTATTCACTGTTTTCTCCATTTTATATTCCATAATTATGATTTTTTCCTCTCTCTCTCTCTCCCTTACAAATAATTTAACATAGATTTATGCCAAAATAATTTTTCTTTCCGCATGAATTTCCAGGTCATAATTACACTGGTTATTTTGAAAACCTAATAATTTTTGCACCTATTGTTTGACCTTTTTAGTCCCAAACATTTTCATAATCTCAGCGATTGAAGAAAAAAAAGAAAATGAACAGAGAATAAATAAACATTAAGTGAAAGTATGCCATTTTGTGTCGTTAATTGTTTTCTACTTTCTTTTCTATAAGTTAAGTAGTCAAACATTTAGTTGTATTTTCCTTCCGGCATAGTAAATTAATTATTATTACAACCTTGTTTTAATTAAATAGTTGAGAAGTTGGACCGAGTTTCAGTATATCACAAGCACGTGAGTATGCATGCATGCACAGACATAATTAAATACATGAGAACAAACAACAAATTGAAGGAAAAAAATTAAATTACGTTACGAAATATTTTAGAAAAATAAATGTTTTCTTTTGACTTTAAAAAAAAGAAGAAAACATTGTTCAATTTACAATATATTAGATTGACAGTACTGAATAAATGTTGTTTATGTATAAAGAACAAGGGAAAAAAATGTATAAAAGAACATTGAAAATAACAATGTTTATCTCAAAAAAAAATGTTTTTATTTTTGAGAAAAAATATTAATAATCTTTTCATTGTATCATGCCACTAATTTATTTTTAAATCAAGTTCTTGGAAAAGTGTGTGTTCAAAAATTTATATGAACCATTGTCATTTCATTTATCTGTCATATTATCAATGTCAAAAAAAATACAGTTGAATAGCTTTTCAAAAAAAATAGTGCATTTCTTAAACTTCCAGTACGAAATTCAAGTATTAGTTGTTTAAATATGTTTTTTTGCATATTTTTAAGCATAATCTTTGATCAATTTTGTGTATCTACCCGGGTCATTTTTATTCCAATATAATAATGAATGCGGTCGCTATTTAAGCACTCTGCTGAATATAGAGGTAGTTGTTTTCAAAAAGATATCTTAATAGTCAGTTAATACATGATCATTTGATGAATTCAAAAAAAAAACCTTCGATTATATCGAAAATGTAGAAAATGTAAACTGTCGAAACTTCTTCAACTTGTCATGTTCATGCTGGTTTGCGGTTGGCTTTATACTTCAAACAACATTTGTTCCATCCCTAGACGTATTATTTTGGCATCACACGTTAAGATCACAGTCTGTAAAGACCGTTTCATGCCACCTTGTAAAAAGTTAGATTTACGGTTTCTTATCAACAATCTTAAACCTTCTGGCAATAAAATGTGGTCATGGAGTGTTGACCACATTATAACATATAAGCTTAAAACTAACGATTGGACAAACACAGCATCGACCACTTCTTATTGATCAATTATTGTACTGTGTGTGTAAAGGTTTAAACTGGATTTTATGCATTTAACCTAGTTAGAACATTTATTATATGTACATATTTCCATTTCTTTAAATCTTAAAAAAAGGCGTATGTGAAATAATGTAAAGTTTTGTAGTACAAAAGCATAAGTAGACCATATGGTTTAATGTTTAACATGTTCAGCAGTGGATTGGTTGGAATTTATTTTTCAAAGTATAGATTCTTTTCTCAATCATGTGTCTTTTCATAGTTTAAACTGGTTTGATTCAGTGTAGAGATTTTCTTTTTCTTTTCATGTAAACAATTCAACAAGTTACTCAGTGATCATACTGTCGCAAATGTATCTTTTTTTTCCATCTTTTTCGATCATATTGTTCGGATAAAATGTATCATTTTATCAAAGTTTTGACGTCTTAATCTTTTTATTTTTATCTAAGAGATAAAATACGTATTCAAATTTAAGTAGTGATTTTTTTGCTATCTTTTAGTAATGTCTTATGACGGTTAATCTAACACGAAATTTAAAACTGAAAGTGTAGAACTTATCTGAAATTAGGAGATAGCAATGTAAATCAACTCTAATGACCTAATTTATATTTCACTGGTTTAGTAAATAGTTTAAGTTAGTCATATATTATCGTAGTAAAGGATATGGATGGTTTAAAATATGTTTGGTTGAAATTTAGTCAACTAAACCTTCGTTAACATTAAATTTAATAGAAAGTTGATATGCTTGAAACTTTTACGAGTTCACCTTACTCGGTAAACGGTATGAAGGTGACCGATACAGTGACACAATAGGCTATTCTAATCTGATTGTCCTAGGCCCCTCTAACTAGAGAAAACAGTCTTGATAAGGCGTAGAGAATGTATTCTAGATGCATCCAGAAAATACAATGATAGAAAAGCCGTTGGTGATGGCCACAAAATGGTGTACTGAAATAATCTATTTTCCGAGTGGTAAATGTAAGCTGATGGTCAACTAAGCGTCTTTGGCGCGAAAGCATAAAAATTCATAAATTTCAGAAAAAAATATAAAATTAGAACCTTTTCGGAGTGCGTTCTGGGGATCTAACGTCCCTAACAAAATAAAACAACGTCAAGTTGCAAAGCTATTTATCTAAGAAACTGATTTGAAATTCACAGTCAGATAAAGTAGCATTTAACTCAATGGTACATTTATTACCCCTAAAAACTATGACTTATTCTGACTCTTGTATCTTATTGAGCTGAAGACGCTGAACAGCATTTACCGATCCTTTTTAAAAAGCAACAAAATCAAGTATAATTACAATTATAATATTCTTTACAAAATTTTTAAATTAACCGATCTTATCACACATAATTAAGGCAGTTCAAGTAGATACAATAATGAATTTGCAGTTCTTCTAATTGGTGACTTCGATACTACAATAAAATAATTTTATTCAGTTTTACTGTAATCGAAAAGATCTAATGGTTAGTTAGACAGACCATCAGGAGGTGAATCAATAGAACTACGGTTTTTAGAGCAGTACCCATCTTTCACACTTAAGTACTGGCATCACAATGAAATTATATCATCCTTCATTGATTGTTTATGTAAATGTTTCGAAAAGATTTTACCACGACATTCTTGTTTACTATATAGAATTTACATTCCATCGTCTCTTACTACCGAATAAATAAAAATCTAAGTGAATTATTCTTTAAGTAAACTTTATGTTAAATTATAAACACGTTGGTTAGAATCTTTGAAGAAAAATCTGTTTGACAGAAAGAGCTTGTAAAACGTTATAGTTAATTGTAGCTGAATGACTTCCCAAAGATAAAATCATAAGGAAATTATTAATAAAAGTAATATATATGTAGTGTTCCTATAAGTCAAATATTGGTAATGATTCATACATGAAAATTAGTTACATATGTTTCAATGAATTGCCTGATTGAAAATTTAATATGTAGATTACAATAGATATATATATATATATATATATATATATATATATATATATATATTTGTAGTGCAATAGTAGAGGTCACGGTGCATACATAAATTTGAGCTATTACCTTCTTGATTGGTCAGCAGAGTTCAATTTCGTCGTAAATGTCTTTCACTTAGACATACATATTATATTTGATATATTATTCTATTCATTTATTGAGAATAAAGATGAGGACACAAATATATATATATATATATAGACAGTTAAAAGAAGACAGGTCATGATAATGAGCAATAGGACTTCGGTGTTTTATATAAAACTATAGTGTTCATTTTTCCCATTCACGAGATTAGGTTTCCATTGTGTATTTTTTTCACCAGTATTTTCCTCATACTCGTCAATAAACACACACACACATACACACGAGTACACGCTTGCACGTAGACATATGAACAGACACAAACAAGTACACAAAAGAAATTATGTGTAGGCATCGGATTCTTTTTATTTTACAGAAATAGAATTCTTACTTAGGATAGAATAAGAAAGCGAAGATAGGATAATGTTGTAGAGAACGAATGAGGAAGAAATTAACAAAAGAAACGTTTATATCTCAATTGAATATAGTATTGTTTCTTGTAATCGTGTGTTGAGATGATTGAATAGACCTATTAACGTATGCCAAGACAGCCAGCCAATATAATTTACGTAATATACTCATGAATCAAAGTGCACAAACTGGACGTTCTGTTGGTAAAATTCAATTAATTGTATTGATAAATTGTTCTTTAATACAAACTCCAAATTATTTTCTCTTTTAAATTTATCCATACTGTGATGTGATTTAAATTTACTCATTATACAACCGATATTCACAAGCATATACATAAATGTACATTATATCCATTAGAAATTATTTTCATCACACGTTTTTAACAAGAGATAATTTATGTGTTAACAAACAAACAAAGAAGTTAGATAGTAAATACGTGCTGACTAAAGCTTATTGAAATTATAAAATACTTATATTTATGTATCTATCTTTGTATACCTTTAAATAGTACATATGCACAATAATCAAACGTATTCAAAGGATACACCTCATACAATTACAACTAATCCACATTTGAAAACTACTAGTACTACTACTAATAATAATAATACAACTACAACAATTACAACTACCCCCACTTCCATATGTATTACAAACAGTAATCCTATCACTACTTTGAATTATGTGATCACGAGTAATGCTGTAAGTGGTTACAAAAAAAACCCATTGGAATTGAAGTCAACGGAAGAAATTGTTTCAACATATCCATCATCGACATTAAATGTTGTTCCTATTCACTCTACTTGTATTGTGACTAGTACGACTATTACTACTGCTACAACTACTACTACTAGTATACCGCATCCAATTACTGTAACTACAGATTTACACAAAAATGAATTATCAACTGGTTGTTTGATACCTACACCAATTAATATTTATACAACTACTTCTACTGGCATTAATACTGTAAATGATCCTGTGACAACTAGCCAACTGAGAAATGTCACTTCATTCCATGAATTCAATCAATCGAAATGTTCAGATTTGAGTTTACTAAGACCTAATCGACCATCGTTGATTCGAAGAAAAGCAAATATATCTGAATCGGATGCATTTGATATTGTTACTTCGGTAAAAAATATCACAACTAGCACAACACACAGTAGTAGTATTAGTAGTAGTAGTACTAGTAGTAGTAATAAAAGTAGTATCGTTTGTACACGTGATCCTAGTATGGAAATAAATTCTATTACTAAGAAAATCAATTCATTTGAAGAAGAAGAAGAAGATCAACAAAAAATTGCATCTTCTGTAAATAAAATTGAACCGAACAAATTGCTGACAACATCCAAAGTAAATTTAGATAGTAATAAAATGAAGTTTAATAATACTCGGTCCACATCAACATGTACATCACAATCATCAACAGCATCTCCATTGGATCCTAATTTATTACATGATTCTCTTGATTATTCAACTAGCAATAAAGTTAAAGATTCCAATAATAAAATGAAGTCAAAAGATATTGAAACATTTAACTCTGGTTTAGAGTATAAAACAATGGTTAAATCAGCTTCAATATCACCAACAAAAAAATATCGTTTAAAGCATCAAATATCTCAACCAATGAATCCACGTAATCGTTCATCACGTAAAATGAGTTCATCATATTATTATAATTCAGATACGAGTTTTTTATCAATGTTAGCTGCTAGTCGACCATCTGCAGCGAAAGGTCTACTAGGTGTAGCAAGTGCTGCATTAGCTGCTGCAAGAGCTGGTACTTTTATCAATAATCCAGTTAATACTACAAGTGAATCAATGCATAAAATGGATAATTCAAGAAATTCCAGATCTGTCGAAAGAAATCAACAACAAATCAATTCAGGTTTTTGTTTTTGTCATTATCATCATTGTCCTTATAAATATCCTCCATATCCACATGATCAACAGCCTAAATTGATAAATTCACCATCATCTAGATTGAATTGGTTAAATGAACAATTATCATTGTATGGTTATACACCAAGACGATATTCTGATCCGGCTTTAAATGTAACAGATGATAAAATGGATATGGTTTATATAAAACTTTTATTATATTTATCACAAAAATCGTTTGTCAATGATGAATATGATATGTACAAAACTAATAATCAATATTATTATCCCTTAGATGTTACACAGAAAACAGATGACGCTGATCAAACTAATCATGCACTACCTATAAATGATCCAATGACACTGCCATTAAAAACAGATGATTATTTTCTTAGTGAGTTTATCAATCGTAATTCTGCTGTATATAGTAGTTTGATGGATTTAAATATACCAGATTTTCTGTCACCTACTAGTAGTAATGTAGGTGAAATAGGTAAGTGTAATTCAACAGTACTGCTTAATAGGGATCATGCATATATTGACTTGTTGGAAACCAAAACCAATCCTAAAACAAGTAAATATTTCACATCAAATATGATACAACAATATTCAGATAATATACAACAACCGCATCAATTTTATTATGATGAAAAACCAAATCAACATACATCACAGTTACAGAAACATGACATCAAAGAGATGATAAATGATACTTCAAATATGTCTAAAGGAATCAGCTATGGAGGAATTCCCTGTGGTTCTACAGTAACACCAGCTTCTCATCCAACCAAATCAAAGCGTACAGGATTAGATGCTATTGGAATGGATTTTATACGTGCAAATGGTGCTAGACCAGGTTTGTTGTCATTTGAATATACATATATATATATATATATATATATATATATATATATATATATCACTGTCACATGTCGTCGTAAAATAAAATTTTCAGTTTTTCTGATTAACAAAATCTAATAATCTAAAGTTGGAATTAATTACCTTACCCTGATAATACCATGTTTTATACAAGAGAAATACTTTGTGGAAAAGTACAGTATAAATAATTTTATTTAAATCAAATTAAATTGTATATTCTCATAATAAGTGTAACTTTTGGTTATGATGTTATGTGGTAAATTACAGTTTGCATGCTTTTACACTTCTATTCAAAAAACTGACTCCAGAAGTTTACTTCAAACTACATATGGTCATTTTTAAAAAATATAATTCATTTTTTATTAACAGAAAGACGTAAATTTATAAATTATATTGTATTTCATTGACCTTAATTCATAAGTAAACCAAATTACTTAATTTAATAAAATACATGATGTAAAAAAACGACAGATTAAACTATATTAATATATTTATAACTTGCATGGAAGCGAAACTTTACAATTGAATTATTCATATATGTATATAAAGTGATTCAGCTTACGGCAGATTACAGTGCAACTTAGTTAACTCAATGTCAAAGTGAATTGTTCGTCATATGAATAATTGAAATGTGAAGTTTCGCATCCATGCATGTTATATATTTGAAGGCAAAGTTATCCATGTTAGTGATAGTGTGTGTGAAACCATAGTCATGTCTTTCCAAATTTATCTAATTTTACTTCCCAGTGTCAGTATTCGATGATTTCTAAGTTAACTTGAATTGAATTTCGCTCAACTATTAATATGACAGCTGATTCATATCATGAAATTGTCAAAAGTATTCACTGCAGGAGAAAATTTTCTCTTTATTGAAATATCCCAATACATATTCCACTTCTGTATCTCATCAATGCTGTGCATATGAATGATAAAACTTTGAATTATTTAAAAATGCTGTTATAGTTTGCAGTACTTCATTATCAGTATTCATCACTTTTTCACCGCCACAATAACTATGCATCAATAAGTATAGTGATATGAACAAACATATCAACTTATTCATAGTTTATCTACAGTGAAATTAATTACTGTATGACATGAAAGCGTCAAATATATATATATATGTATATATATATATATATATATATATATATATATATTGATGTCCATTGTGAAAATTTTAATTGTTTATTTGCATAATTCTGTAAATGTAGCTGTTTTTGTATAGCATTGAGCAAAAAAGCCAACCAACTATTTATGATGATTTTGTTTTTACATATTGATTCTTTGTTAAACAAAGCGAAACATAAATCATTCACTTATATATATGAATATATAAGCCTAAAATATTTATTCATTGAGTTATTTGTTCCTTTTTTTTTCCTGGAATGGTTCGTGTGCGTTTGTTTCTTTTCTCGCTTTGTTGATAATCCGACAATACTGTTAGTCAAAATGGTAATAAATGTATTAACCATAAAATTATGTAAACGATAAAAACGATAAGAGCGATGAAAAAAAAACAGCAGTGAAATAGTAGTCAAGTGACAAACAGAAAGAGAGAAAAAAATAAATCACTTTAATTGTTTTTTTTTATATTAGTCAAGAAAATTAATACATAATAGAGCAGAAGTATAGTAGTGACTTGTTTTTTTTTTATTTCTTGGTAAAAGTTGAAAATGGAAAATTACGATGAAAAATTATTTTATGATAGTTAACATAGTTAAAATCAAGAACAAATAATTGTTTACATAGGATTTCTTTAGAAAAAATAACTTTTTAGTTCAAAATGCGTCACATGATTGAAATCTGATAAGTTATAATTTTATACAATTAGTCAGAATCTGTTTTTGTTCAAAAATATCAATTTTAATTTTACGTTCTTCATTTGATATTTTTGTTTGATTTACCTGATTCGAGACTTTCACATCAATATATTTAACCATCGAAACGAGTTTGTTATATACTAGGGATAAATGCTTGTTTCAAATAAATAGAAACAGTAGAGAAGGTAACGTTTTTTTAAAAAATTTTTATTGTTAAGTCTGAAATCAAAATACTATCTCTGGTAGTGATTGATTATGCTCATCAAAAAGTTAGTTCTATAAACGCAGAGATATAACATAATACAACTTTACATTTATTGATGTGCAAAAGTAGGAGTTTTAATTCAAATCACTATTGCTTACTAAAGCAACAATAGATGTTACTGTTTACTTTTTCACATATAAACGTTTATTGTTTTTGATTAGTTTTATGACTATGATGATGAAAAATGTTAGTTTAAAGCTGGATATGTAAGCAAACAATCTTGTTTGCAAAATGATCATCAGGCTTTACTCAAATATTTCTTATGTATTACCTATCTAGATATTACTTAACAGGGGAACCAACATATCTGGATATTCATGGTATTCATGGTGAAATTTTGAAATTTGAAAAAATGTTCACCCAAATGCCTCTTTTATTAGTCTAGTGGCTGAATAGGTTTATAGGTTTATGAACAGATTGTAAAACCGGTAAATTTATCAAACAACTTTCAAATGTTGTCTCATTTCAATGCACATGTTTTCCTTTAAGAAGTAATCAGAGTCCATACTAAAAACCTAAAATTAATATATTCAAACAAGCATAAGAAAAACTATATTTTGAACTGGTTAGTTTACTTCAGCATTGTTTAAATCGAACAGAAGAATAACTTATTATTTAGCAGTTCAGTATTTATAACTATTCAAGAATACATTTCATATTAGCTTATTTAATTTTTCTGTAATTAGTTGACTACTAATTTTTCAAGCCTATTCTCATTACTTAATGTTATCATTTGAAACACCATGAAGAAAAAAGAAACTGTTGTGTTTTTAAAGAGTACGACAAATAGAGGAAATCTAATAAACAAACACTTATAAAACCAGTTCAATTTAAGATTTGTATTTCTAATGAGACTATTTCCTAAAGAAATTCATGCATTGATCAAATATTTTCAATCAGTAGACATACATTTCTCTCTAACAGATTATTTTGTCATTTTTATTAAAAAACAATGTATAAACGAGCAGTTGACTTCGCTGACTTTAATTATCCAATTTATCTATGTATATTTATTTACAGAAAATATTAATTGACGCCAGTTTTATTGTTGTCTTCCGGTAAATAAAACATTTCATTATACTTTTCATAATTACTGTAATTATCCATTTTTAAATTAGGAGAATAAGTCAACACAGTACTAAAGCATGAATCCAAATAGAGTGAGATTTCCCATAAAATCAAGTTTAATGTTTGATTTTTGATTCATTGTTATCATAAATTTAAAAAAAAATCAATATGTAACGAAACAAAAAACTATGAAAAAAAAATAAGAATTCAAAATATTTAAACGAAACAGAGCAATTTTTAAAAATTGCCGAAATGCAGTAGTTATCATGCCGACAGTCAATTAACCAATTCCAATAGGAATTTTCCGACAGGACACTTATCAGTTAAGATAAAATTGGCAAACAGAATTAATAAAACAATTTATCCAGTGTAAGGGAAACCTCTACACATTGAGTTCATTTTAAAAGCTGTACAATTTTGTATATAAATGTACAAATATCATTATTTGAAATAAACAAATAGTTCTTAAAGTTAATAATTTATAAAAGCCATTAAGAACATAATTAGTGTGGTAAAGGTGTAACTGTGAGTATAGTTAAATTATATCTACGATTATTTTAGAAATCTGGGTAAAAACAATCATCACGATATTCATAATCATAATAATAATAATAAAAAATAACAATAATAGTAAACTCAAGTAAATTGAGATTATTTTCCCGGACTTATAAGTAAAAAAAGAAAAAAGTGAGGTAACGGTATCAATAAAGTGATCTGTCGAATTGTTCTCCTGTACAATTATCAATGTTTTATTTTGTGTACGGCCGAAACTTCCACAAAATTATTTCAATTGTTTTAAATTCATTTACTTTTTGAATTTGCTAGCTTGACTAGCAAGATAAACTCAACATTCCTCATGTAAAATAATAGGTGAGTTGAATGTGATATTTACTACTTTGACAATAAAACGTTATCATGAGATGAAATTTAAAATTGCCTTCCATTTTTCACCCGTTCGATTAAATAAATACTGAATAAATTTGAAACTAAATAATTTGTAGTAAGATTAAAAAGAATTATCTATTAATGTCTTGATTTCAGCTATTCTTTAATTCTCAACAACTATCCAATGTTTACAAAATGACAATCACTTTTGAATCATTTCACTGTCGAATCTACGTTTGTAGCTTTTACACATCTATTTAAGAAACGTTAACAACCAACGTTAATAATGAAGTTGGTAAATACTAATTTATAGAGTAAGGCAGTAAGCAATAAATTCAAAGAAGTTAACCTATTCAGTCTATACATATCGTATACAACAGTAGTGTAGAAATTTCTATAGTCATAAGTGTGTAGTGAAAATTCTTTCGCATAATAGAAATCACCTATTTCAACTATATAGGTGAAATTCACAACAGTTGACAATCTATGCCTGCAATTTCTGTTAAATATATAAATTAAAACAGCCTCCATCTTTTTACAAGTATTAATTAGCTGGTATACATTCAGTATTAATGCCTGACCAACTGAATTTGAGTTTCATTGATTTTGTTAAACGTTATATTCCAAACGACGAAATTACTTGCTAATCAACTGAAGCTTTGTTACTGTAAAAAGCCAATAAAAAAATAGTTTAAATCGTTTGATTAATGCATAGAGCAATAATAGTAGGGTATACTCATGATTAGATTCAATTTGGAACTGGATTTTTAATATAGATGTGATAATCAGGAGTAGTTGTATTCTGTATACGTAATAGTAACACCCATAAATGTCTAATTCATACTCTATCAGTATTGAAGTGAGGAAGAACTATGTGAGTGCAAACGAATGTACAGTATATCCAATTTAGAATTCGGTGTGGAATAAAATAATACA